ACCTGTTTCATAATTTAGTAGAAAAACAGGAGAGTATACTTTTGTTATTTTAAGAAGAAGGTCTAGAGTCCTGATAAAATCATTTTCATGATCCCTGGCTTATGTTTGTGTTCCCAGCAGGGGGGAAACTGGATGGGAGTGAAGTAAGAGGGACTTTATAATCGTCATTTATAGCTTTGCAGTGGAGGAGGTGGTACCTGGAGTGTTACCACCAGCTTGTTCCCAAGAAGCAGCGTGACGCCAAGCCAGTGGCCCAGTGCCTTTAGGGAGTGGCCTTTCCATGGGATCTGAGGATGCTTAGCCACCCAGAGGAACAGCATCCAGACCTTGAGATTGCTGTGATTGCTCTATTTCTCTAATGTCAGCTATTGACTTTAAAGTGAAGGTTTATAAATAAGGGGTAGGTTGAGTGATGGTGGACAGAACTAGGCCAACTAAGCCAACTAGGTGGACAGAACTTACCTGGACCCCTAGGTGGATCCTGGAGTTACCAGGGGTGTGGACTCTAGGAGAGTAGCCTTGAGTCTCATGGTCTCTGACCACAGGGTATGAAGAAAACCCAGGCTATTTAAAAAATGTGTTTGCTTCAGAAAAATATGTTTGTAAATGTTTTGAGCACATTCCTAAGGATGACAAGAGGAGACTTTGGCAGTCAACAGAGGCAAGGCTGTTCTAGGGCCTGAGAGGGCTGCGGTGTGAAGTGAAGACCTTTGCGGGCCTCCTCCCTCTGGGGCCACTGCCCTCCACTGGCTTCTCTGTCAGTTGTAAGGAGAGCAGGCTTGTTCAGCGCCCTTTGGTTTGTACTCACGGCCTCTCATCCACCGGGTGATAGGAAAAGCACTAGCTTGGGTTTTGCATTGTTTACTTTTTGAAATCCCAATTAAACTCCACTTGGGGCTGTCTAGGGGAGGAGATAGGCCTCCCCCAAGCACAGCTGGGAAAACAGTTCTCTGCTCTGTTGTTAATATCCTTTTACTCACTTTATCCCAGCACCAAGGAGTCTCCAGAACTGATTAGGGAAGTGAAAGGAGGTTTGGAGACCAGATGTCCCTTTAGTATTTCCAGCCAAGTCTTCATATTTGAAAGGGAGACAGATGCATGGTGTGGTATGTGGATAGAACCAACAGCCCCTAAAAGACTCTGGTGCTTACAACCGCTCACCTGTTTGTTCTTCCCTTTCAACTTCCTGTTAACACTCATTGTGTCCCATCTCCCAGCTGAAGATCAAAAGGAAATTAAAGTACTGGGGGTCAGAATAATGGACCTTGGATTGGGAAGGATGAGAAAGTGCATAGGACCACGAACAACTACCCACCTCTTAACCAATACCCTATTTTTCACAACTAATCTAAGGGCTACTTGCACCGTGACACACCTGTGTTTTATATGTGATCAACTTTGGTCTAAAGACTAACATAGAAAAAATGTGCCTTATGGCAAAGGTTACCATATTTTCTTTGTGGCTAGGGGATATGTGGGACTAGGATCAGAACTCTCCAGGCCCTTAAAAACTATTCTACTTAAAAAAAAATTATAGGCTGGAAAAGAGTTTTTTACATCTTTTGTATTAACCTGGATAGAGTTGAAACACATTCTTCTTAGTAAAGTATCACAAGAATGGAAAGCAAGTACCCAATGTACCCAACATTAACATGAAGCCAGGAGGTGATCTAATACACATCCATACAACAGAAAAACTCAATCCAATTCATGTTGGGGAGGAGGGGAAAGGGGAAGTGGGAAGCTAATTGGCACACTCCCACCTAATAGGCACAATGTAAGGGTGTATGGCACCCCTCTTGGGTGTGGAGCACAACTGTAAGAGAGACTCTGCCTAATAGATGCAAAGATTGTATGTAACCTAGTTATTTGTACCCTCACATTATTCTGAAATAAAAAAAATAAACAATAAAATAAAATAAATCCCTCTTTTTGAAGAATGCAGTTCTTGAGGCAGGAGGGCCTCAGAGTCTTATAAAGATGGGGGTGAAGGGAAATATCTGTAAGGATGAGGGCTTGGGTGGATGGTGCACAGGAAGGGTGTAATCAGTAGGGCAGAGTAGGGGCAGGTTGCGTGATGGTGGGGACTGTGGGAAGGAGGCTTCTGAGGAGGTGTCTGTGGCCACCATATTGAGAGCCTGGGGTTTCTCAGAACAGCCAGAGATCTGTGCCTCAGTCTGTGCTTCAAATGCGCCATCTCAGGGGCCCATGTATGCATTTGCTATGGTTTGACTATGTCCCCTCCAAAATTCAGGTGGTGTCAATGTAACAGTATTGATAGGTGGGGCTTTTAAGAGGTGATTAGGCCATGAGGGCTCCTTTCCTCATGAATGGGTTTAGGAGCTCTCCAGAGATCTGCCCTCTGCCACGTAAGGACACAGCATTCTCCCTTCCCAGAGAACCCCGTGCTCAAGGTGCCATCTTGAAAGTAGAGAGCCACCCTCCCTGATGGAAATGTTTATAATTATTGAAAAGCATTTTAGTTTCTGAGACAAGGCTGTTTTATGCCAGAGGGACCACAGGACTCTGTTTTTTAAGAGTGACCACTGAAGTCATGGGATTGATGCCTTTTTTTCTTCATGGGGACATGAGAAACTACTCCTTATTAAAGACCCATCATGACAACAAAATTAAGTTAGTGACTGAGTCCAATATCAGTTCTTACCAAATTTACTTGTACATTTTAATGATTTCTCAGTTTAAATACTAGGGGTATTGGTGAACTTAAAAATATCACTGAGAAGTTCATCTAAGAAGAAAGAAAAATTACAGAAAAATAATAGTAGATATAACTTATCTTCCCAGGGGGAAATGATCTAAATATGTGCAGTAATTAGAACTGTGCAGTGTCATCCCACTACAAGCATTCAAAGATGAGTCAGTGAACTAATGTGAATAGTGCAAAAGGAGAAAATAGTCTGCATAAGAATCAAGTATGTAAAGATAATAGAACAAACCGCAAACAGATTGTTGCATATATAGTGCCAAGATAAATGGTTAACTTCTTTGAGAAACATAAACTTGAACTTTTCATAAAATTGTTCCAAATAATTAAATAGTAAAATATAAATGATAAAGCTATGAAATACTAGAAGATAATAACATGTGAATGGATTGTCTTTCCGCATTGTTTTCAGATCACTTAGTAAGAAGTAGTGATAGCAGGTACAAAGGTGTTGAACTTGACTTCATCAAAATATCTTTATCAGACATACTGTAGTCAATATGAAGAACATGGTGATACTTCTGTTTCTACCAATACGATGACATAGATGCCTAGACTGACTCTTTCACTGAAAACAGAAGTGTTGAATACATATATTTTAAACAAGTACATGATGAGCCAAGTTTCTGGTTTTTCTTTCTGCAAATACACATAGTGCCCAAGAAGCTAATGTTTCTAACATTTTTCTCTCTTGGTCTTCTCATTCATCAAACCTGAGTTAGATCTGAGAAGGTTGGATGGACCCCATTGTCCAGCTGAGGGAAAACCTCCTTCAAGGGCGTCACCTCTAGCCTCAGAGCTCTGTAGCCAGGGCCACAGGTATTCCCAGACATTCATGTTATTAGCTGAAATTTTGGTTTCATAGCCTTAATTGCTATGTCTGTCAGGCTGAGCGTACATACTCTCAGCAGAGGGTGACATGGCTTAGCCAAATGACCCCACCATTTACAAGGGCACCAAGGAACATTTCTCTTTTCACTTTTTAAATGTTGAATGATTCTGGTTCCCTAGACCCATCTGTACACCAATACTTTTGTTTGTTTTTGTTTTTCAATACAGTATTGCTAGAATCTCTATTCTATGTGAGTAGATTTCTTTGAAAATCACTCCTTTATTCAATGTGAGTAGATTTCTTCGTAAATTCACTCCTTTAAAAGCAAAAAATCTTTTTTTCTCTTTACATTGTTAGTGAAAGTCTTTCATAAATGTGTTTTGTAGATTTCCTTTTTCTTAAATAGAACATAACTTAATATTGTCTTGAGAATGCAAAGTCATTATAATGGATATCAATGTCGTGTTCTGAAAACATAGTGATCCTTTCTGGGCCACTAAAGTTATGGAGTCTTTGCCCTTCTACCAATGTCCCCAGGACACCGTGGATTTTCAATCTGTTGTTATATAGCTTTTTTTTTTTTATCTTCTTCTGATATGTTAGATTGCGAGATAGCAGCTTTTTTGTCTCTATGGTTTATTACATTTTGTCGTTTTGCTTGGGAAACAGGAGATATGTTAAGGGTTATGTGTAAACCCAGAGTAAATAGAGGTGAGGGAGGGCTACTTTTCTCATTTGCAAATAAGGGAATTGTATTAGATGTTTTCTCAGATCTTTTTCCTCACCTCTAAAATGGGGATGATGATAATACCACTTCATAGCATGGTTAGGAAGATTACACAAGCTAGTGTGTCAAGAATTTAGAATGTTTGGGATCAAACATTCTATTACCTTGGAATCTGGGGACAAGGATGATTCCCATTCTAGGATAATCTATGAAAACTTTATTTACAAGGTTGCTGAACTTCAGCACCACTTGTAGAATAAAACTGAATTATCAATCCATTATATTGCTCAAGGTTGTAATTTGTTGCTCTGGGGGAAGTTTCTGCATCCCATCTGATATTCTGCTGTCCAGTGGAAGGTGGAAATCCTGAGTTGCGCTGAGCGTGACCGTGGACGGGAACAGGTGGCTCTGTGGCCAGTGAGCCGCGGTGAGAATCTGCGTGCTGAGATTGTGCTACGTGCACATAATTATTAACTTCTTTGAATCCTATTTTTCTCCTGTGCTGGACAAGGGGCTGGGCTTTGGGGCATGAGACTTAGGCTGAGCCTGCTGACAGTCTATTAAGGGAGACAGATACAATAAATAGCGTACTAATAGGAGAATAACAAGAAATATGGTCAAGGAGAGCAAGCACAGAGGGGACAGAATGTGACTCTGTCCCGGCCAGTCGGAGGAGGTGGCAATTATGCAGTGTTTTTGTTTTGTTTTGTTTTGTTTTAAATATGGCACGCTTCCCGAAATTGCATATCCTCCTTAGGCAGGGGCCCTGCTAATCTTCTCTGTATTGTTCCAATTTTGTGTATGTGCCCCCGAAGCGTGCACGAGGCGGCATTTTGATGTATCGGTTGAAGTCAGATGGTTAACAAGGGCGGATAAAATGAAGAACTACCTGGGAGGTAAAACTGACAGGGCTTGGTGACTGCTGAATGTGGTAGCGAGGAAAGGAGATTGCCAGGCAAGTCCAGGGTTTCCAGTTAGAGCTTTTGAGAAGATGGGAGACAGGAAACAGCTTAGCAGCAGCACGCGGAGTGGATTCCCCGACCACGGCTCTGCGCCAGCTCAGCCTCCGGCCTGCGTCCGCATCCCCAGCACTGGGGTCTCCGTGTGAGCAGCCCAGACTCCCTCGGTGGAAATGTCAGTGTTACTACAAACTCCTTCTCCCTGGGCGTGCAATTGCCACGGGTCCCTCTGACCACAGATTTTCCCCTTCCCAGAGATAAGGGAGCTGTCTGCCAAGCGGAGAGAGAATTCCTAATTCAGAGGGGAGGGCGGTTGCGTAGCAGCAGGTGCTGCAGGCTTGGGGGTGAGTGTCCCGCACGCTGGCCCTGTCACCGCCTCTGAGAGGGATGAGATCCAGGCCAGGAGAAAGAAACTCAATCACAGCGCAGGAGGACAGGAGGCTTTTAGTCAAAGTGCCAGTCACCAGGGGCCACTGATAGCATCTCCCAGCAGGTCGGGTTACAGCTGCCTGCCTCCTGGAGCGCTGAGAAGCCAACAGTGGAGACAGGAGAAGGGGCTGAGGGCAGATACCGAGAGCAGGAAGGGGCGGCTGGAAGAGAGGAAGGAGGCAGGAGGGACACAGGGAGAAGGGAAAGGGCAGCACGGTCGCGGGAAGGTTCACTCTCCAGCCAAGAAACACTCTGTGGTTTTGCCTTCAATCATTTCCTTCAGGTAGAGTTGGAGATCATTTTCTTCACGGAAAATTGGTAGCACCTGAGGAAAGAACCCCCTCTTTGGAGAACATAGAGCTCTGTTTCTTCCATCACAGAAGATCATGCCAATTATTGTGGTACACAGACCTTCTTACCTGCTCAATTGTTGCTACCATTTGGTTTTCAGTTGTTAGAAAATGCACGGGACCCCTTCTTTCAGTCAGTAATTGGTGACTGAGGGCATATTGCAGCCAAGCTCTGGGCTCTGCAAACTGCCCCCTCCAGGAGGCACCACCCAGCTGGACAGAGGAGCTTCAGGTCAGGCAAAGGTGATGTTAAGTTGCCGCCTTGTGTCTAGAGTGAGGGCCATTCTGCCCACGGTTCAGCTGGTCATCTTATGTGGTTAGTGTTTTGCTAATGAATTGAAAGCAAGGCACTGCTGGGCCCCATGGCTCTCACCTGTAGTCCTAGCACTCTGGGAAGCCAAGGTGGGTGGATTGCTTGAGCTCAGGAGTTTGAGATCACCCTGAGTAAGAGCAAGACCCCATCTTTACTAAAAATAGGAAAAAAAAAAAAAGCAAACAAACAAACAAAAAAAAACACTACTGGCCAGGTGTGGTGGCACATCCCTATAGTCCCAGCTACTCAGGAGGCTGAGGCAAGAGGATTTGCTCAAGCCCAAGAGTTTGAGGTTGCTGTGAGCTATGACCCCACAGCACTCTACCCAGGGCAACAGAGTGAGACTCTGTCTGAAAAAAAAAGAAAAGAAAAGAAAAGAAACGCTAGGTGCTGAGTCATACATGTGACCAATTATTATCACTTTCTTATATCACCACTGACAGCATGGCAGACTCTATTTTAAGCCCTTCTTCCAGTGATTGCAAAGGAGGATGGAGCCAAGCAATTCTGAAAATATTAGTTTAATTTTCCCATCATTAGCTGAAGCAAAATGTGTGTTACCAGCTACAGTGTCGCCTTTACCAAAAGAAGAGGTCTTCTTTTATTTTTTTTCTTACTGTTTCCTCTAGGCCTGGTGCTAATTAAATGCTTTACATGTATTACCTCACTGGTCCTCCAAATAATCCTACTAGATAGGTGTTTTGTTCATCTTCCCACTTTACAGATAAGAAACTGAGGTCTAGAGAGCTTAAGTCACAGGTATAACTGAGGTGGAGACAGCCTCATTTAGACAAGCCTCTGGACATAACCTAAAGGTGTCATCTGGTTAGTATCCAGTGTCTGTCACCACTCAGGACAACTCATGACTGCCTTTCCTTCATTCTCTCACCTTACTGAAGAAGCTCTGCTACCCCCTGGGGGAAAACCTGCATAAGAGAAAGATTTGCCCCTGAGCAAAGTAAGCTTCAGGTAGGGCATTGAACCTAGCACAGCGAGAGAGGACAAACTCAGTGCCAGGTGGGGTGGGGTGGCTTCCATGAACCTTCCAGAGAGGAGGCACAGAGGCAGGGATGAGGAGTTCAGCACAGAGGGGTCTAGGGCAGGCTGTAGGGAGTGAAGACAGGTAGGGCCCCGCTTGCCGCGGGTCCAGTTTTGACTTTCACAAGAGCTAGAGTGGGACAGTGGGAGTGACTAGGTCAGATCAGTGGTTCCTAGTTCATCTTACTATGTATATATATATATATGCCCTTTCATTTCCAGACATGTCTGAGAGAGGTCCTTATCTAATACGTTCCCAGGTGATTATTTTTCCCCTTGGTCTTTAAGTTGGCTGTTTCCTCCGAGGATAGAAGGAAACCCCTGTGCAGAGGGTGCTTTGCCAGAGGAATGAGAACCTGGATAAACAACAGGCTGACTGTGGCCTCCCAGTGCTGGAGCTGATGAAGCGCAGACGTTGCTGGAGATTCGGAATGCACCTGGCCACACCCGGACAAAGTTGTATTTTTCTTGCAGGGAAAGAGTTGTTCCTCCCTCCCCCCAAGTTGCCATTTTAAAAATTCTTTCTACACGTTTGGAAAGTCTAGTTCAGGTGTATGAAAAACTCTGAGATGAAGTCTCCATGCCATGCCTGGAGATTTGGCTTCATGGTATTTACCAGACAAACCATGATAATTATGCATGAGAATCATTCAGGGAGCCTTGGAAATTCTGTTCTCTGTACATTCCATTAAGTTTGGGAGGCAAAAAGGCCCTGATCACAGTGAGAGATGATAAAAGATCATATGGAATTTTAACATCACACAATAAATCATCACGTGGAAGTTATTTTGAATAAATTGTACTATACCCTCGCTTGCCTTCAAGGTCTTGAAGTGAGTTCAACCTGGGCTTTCTCAGGCATGACACCACTGACATGTGGAGTTGACTGTTGGTCGTGGGGTGTTGTCCTGTGTCGTGGGATGTTTAACAGCTTCCCTGGCCTCTTTTCATTAGGTATATAGTAGCAGCATCCCAGCTGCAGTGATGAAAATTATTTCCAGATATTGCCAAAGTCCCCTGGGCAGGGGGCAGAGGGAAGGGCAAAATGACCTCTGTGAGAACCGCGAGTCTCACCTATGTCCCAGTCGTAACTTTTATAGTTCTGAGTTGCATGGCCTTTGACAAGTTGCTAAAACTCCAAGAGCCCCTGTTTATTTTTTAGAAAAATGGGGACCCTCGTATTTACCTTTCAGCACTGTTTTCAAATGCTGATTGTCCTACACACAGCCTGCATGGGCAGGTCCTCTGAAAACTTGAGTCCACCTTTGCTGCTCCCTGCCCACGCTCCCAGGATGTAGAAATCCTCTCTATCAGCCAGTGGGTCTAGATTTCCTCCTAGGCCTGGCCCCAAAGAAATTGCCAAACTGAGTTACATAGAGGTACAAAGGGATAGAGTCCCTCCTGGACTGGCAAATAATTTGCTGGGTGTATTGGCTTTTTCTTCTTCATTAGCTGAACATTCCACTGGAGAGTTACCCACTGGACCCAGCAGTGGAGCAGGGTTTGGTCCAAGTGGATTTGAGCACTCCACATTGTGGGCCCTCCTCATTCTTCCTTGTTTCTTTTCTACAGACTCTGTACTTGAAGTTTTCTTTTTCCAGCCTTCTTCTCTCTGGCCTTATTTCCCTCCCTGTCTGGCTTGCACAGTGCACAAATAGTTAAGGGCACTTGGTCTGGCTGCCTCTCCGGTCCCTGCAGACTGCACTGGAAGGATTGAATGAAATTGATAGTGCTAACATTACATCACTCAAATCCCCAAAGAAAGAGTAGCTGGGTGGATAGAAGGAATGACCCTGGAGAAAACAGCTGTCAAGGGCAGCTATTGGCTTATCTTTCATGGAAAGGGAGACGTGATGAATTCTAAATGAACAGAAGCCAGAGGCAGTGCAGTTTACCGGTCCAGCAAGGCTGCCACAGCACAGGCTGACCCTTCAGGGGACTGACGACTCCTTTCTCCTGTGTGCCAGGTCCTGGCCATGTTTGTGCTGCTTAAACGTTTGGGAAGAGCCTGCAGTGAAGAAAGTGGTTACACTGCTGGTTCAGGCTGTTTGTAGGACACTGAGCTGCACACAGGTGGGGGCCACATCACAGGGCCACTACCTGGGGCTCAGTTTCACAGGGCCTGGCTCCAGAGGACCACACAGGCCTCTGTCTCATTCACTGAGTCTCCCCTCCACCCCGTGCATGTCCATGCTTCTCCAAGACCAGGTGTCCACAGGGGCTTTAGAAGGGAGTAGCAAATTGCCGTAGAAGGAAGTTGGACTTTGGAGAGTAGTTGATACAAACTTAAAACTTGGCCCATATATCTTTTAAGTGTAAGTGACTCTTGGCAGGTTACTTCATCTGTTGGAGATTCAATTTCTTCATCTTCAAAATGGGGGCAAAATAACACCTGTTAGAGTATTTGTATGATTAGGCACAGGGTATACCAAGAGTCTTGCTCAGTAAGTGGCTTTCATTATTATTATTAGTGACAACTGAGATTCAGAGCATTAAAAAGACTTGGATGTTGTCACTGAGCCAGGAAGGGACAGAGTGAGGTTGGGAGCCTGTGAGTGCTCATTCAGGGACTATCTATACTCCTTCCTCAGATTGTAGCTGCCAGACTTTAAGACACAAAGGAACTAGTCCAGGCAAAGCAGATTGTTATGATGAGAAGAGGGACCCATGTCTTAGCATAAGGGTCTGGAAGCCCCCACCCATCACCTGTATATGCCCCACTCATAGCTGAT